TATTATTATTATAATTATTATTATTATTATTACGTACTTTCCTGCTTCGAGCTCTCATGTTCGCGAACAAGCTAATAGTGAAAAAGCGGTGTACGCCGATACTTATCGATTTCACGTTAAAAAGAAAAATGAAGATCAGTCCCCAGAGAAATGGAGAATTAATTCATTGCCATTGCATCAAACACGAAAAGATTATCGTTGGATGCAACAATATTTGTACACTAACTTCGCAAATTTTCCTCGCGCGTTACCACAGGCTGAAGGTACATCGATGTCTTTTTCTTTTCTTTTCCCTTTTGGCTTGAAAACATTCTTCGGAAAAATTATCCATTTCTCTTTCTCCGATGTTTAATTATTATAAGTGTAACAAATATCACGAGAGTCACAAAGAAAAGTTAGGCTCTCCTGCTCATAATCACGACACTTCGTCAATGTTCATCACCATTTTACGTCGTATCGATCAAGTGTTTCATGATACACGGCCCAATAACACAGAGATCGACGGAGAAATAAAAATTCTTTTTGTGCGGTAATGCTCGAAGGGCGCCTCTTGTTTGCATTCTTTCCTTGCACGTGCTCTGCGTAACCTCTGTGTAAGACGATATATGCTGGAACGATGAACGAACAGTTGTATCAAAGATCTAGTAACCCAGATTGAAACTGTTCGCTATATGCAACATTCGAATTTGCGTGGTATAAAAATTATATACATTATTATCTAATCACACGCTTACATAATGCATACATCTAAATATGAAATATATGCTTCTGTTCTTTCTCCTTTGAGTTAGAATGTAAATGATAAACGATTTGTGATTATTTAGCTAGACGGTTGCACGAACAAGCATGCAAACAGATACCCCCTCCGTTCTTACGTAGTACGATATTTTCTAAAAGAACTTATTTGTAACAAAATGTTACTAATACAAACTGCGAACTTCCAATTTTTCATCGTACGATTCCGTTACAAATCCAGAATAGTCTTTACTTCCGTAGAAAGTAATGGCAAGAAGGAACCCGGCAATAAGGAACAATGCCGAAGTTATTGACAAAGTTTGTCACGCGATTCTGTTTCGTTTTGACGTCTGTGACCTTTGTTGTAGAATAAACGCATCGTTCATGTATAAAACTACAAAATATATGGAAGTTATACAATATAGGTGATACAATAAAAAATGTATCTCTATATAAAGATTATTCTTTGCAAAAAATATACTGTAAAGTTTCAAAGTGTGCTCAATATTGAAACGCAAAAAGATCATAGAAAAGTCCTACGAATCGCTTAATTATAGTTTCCTATCAATTTGATAGAGTCGAGTAAAAATCATTTTAACCCTTTCAAATACAATTTCTTTCTTTATGGAATGTTTAAAAAACTTATATCTTAATAATAATATACACGTCATGAGCTTGTGCCACATATCAAAATCGAGCACACCTTCCTATCCTTGAATACTAAAAAAATATGTAAAATCCAAATTTACCTCGTATCTAGTATTTTAAAATGCTCATTTATGGACTGACATAGTTTACAGAGAAAAATGAAACGTACTCAAAGATAAAGCTTTAGAAAAAGGAATTTCATTTGTACTTTTCATTCCTCGATATTATTACGGAGTTTGAGCAGATTGCATTCCCTTATTACACGTTTCCTCTTCTGTTTATTCAATGTATGTGTGAATATGTGTGCTTGCGATGTTAAATCTGCTACTTTATACTCGGTAAAGAATTTCAAGTTATATTTAATATTATTTAATAGCAACACTTCTCCTTAGTCTAAGTAAGCTAAAAGTAACTGAAAAATTATATTATTGTAAATGTATAAAAAGTAAACTTTTGATTTCACACAACAAAACCTATTTATAATAGGTCAGTACGTTTTACAAAGTAATATTGTAAGTACTGTATGAAGACGAATTTTGTTAATTTTGATTCTGTGTATATAAAAACCAATGGAAAAACATAACAAAATAAAAACAGGCCAACATTTCTATCCTTTGAATAAGTACGGAAATGGCACAGTGTGTTTTTTCATTCAAAACAGATTGCATATCGCTCAATCCGACTTTTTAAACAACTGAAAATTATCATAGAGTTGAATACTCTCTTTTACACCGTTTACCATTTCGGTACCTAAACGTAGTTCGTAAGTGATAAAAGGTGCGTACTCCTTTCAAAAATAATAAAATTTAATCCACGAATACAGTTTAAAAATAATTGCATCTGCAAAATTCAATGATAATTTCAATTTGCTAATGTACAATGTATAGTTATTAAAAAACAATTAATATTTAAAATATAAATAATCAGTGTGTACATCCATCATAATCATTTTAACATAATTATATGTTGGCAATTTTTTGTAAATAAAATTGCATCACCTTTTGCCACTACAGAACTACAATATATTCGACCACCTCCCTTTCTGTTTCTAATAAATTAGAAGAGGAAGAGGGTGGTCTGCCTTGCTTGCTACTTGGTTGCCTCTGGTGGGCAATCAGGCTGATTGTTTGGATGAGCAGCAGTGAAAGCTGGATGATTCTCTAAATGACGATCTACCCTTAAAATTGTGGGGAAAGGTCGTAAATCAACAAGAAACCTCCTTGCATTAAATATCTGTGGTATTAAGCAGCAGTCTGCTAATGTGATTTCATCACCTACACAGTATTTTCCTGCACTGGATGACAATAATTTCTCTACAGCTGAAAAATAATATCTTTGGTCATTTTTATGGTAATGTATAATTTAAATTACATTTTTTTCTCCCATTATTAACATACCCGTTAGACCTCTGGTGATCCAATGCTGTGCCCATTCCTTTTTACGTTCCTCTCCAACATAAATCAACACAACTAAGTTTTGCAAAGGTTGAATGCCACTAGCAATGACTTCACATATTTCTCTAACTCTTGCTCTTTTTACTGGGTCTGCAGGCATTAAAGGTCGATGTGGTCTGGTTTCTTCTAAGTATTGCAAGATATTTAACTGAAATGAAAATACTTCCATACTTAATATATTGTTATTGAATAACATAAGGAAACACGTATCAATATTTCTATACTTACAGATTCTATTAACGTGTGATTGTCAATATGAAGTGCAGGTACCTGCTCCATTGGATTAATCTCACGAAATTCATTAGAATGTTGCTCTCCACCACCTTTTATCAAGCTAACAGGTTTTATGTCATATGGAATTTCTTTTAAATTTAATGCTGTTAAAAAAAATACACGTGAATGTTTATATAAATATGAGAAGGTATATGTTGAGAATCCTTATAAAATATATTTTATTCAAATAAAAATTCTCATTTATAAAAATAAAACATTTTGAACATTTAATAACACTTCCTTACTTACCAATTCGCACTCTCCAGGAACAAGAGCTCCGCCAATAGGAGTAGAGTACTGGCTAAAAGTGAGAAAAAGAAAGGAGATAAATACTTCGAAACATTTTGCGATGTTTATTGGTTTTAAGCGGCACGTTGACAATGGCATATATTTAATTACCTAAGGTCGGTCAAATAAAAATAGATTCAAATGAAACAAAAGAGCAAAATAATGATGATAAGAAATCGTAAACGAAGCAAATAATCGGGGAAAAATATATACGAAAAACGTGGATTTTAATCCAGTGTTTGAAGAAATGATTTCATCTCAAATAAAGGGTTGATAATAAAGAGCTGTATAACAATGTCGAATTCAATACATTAAAATCTTAATTTGCTTACCTTTCCCATGACGGACATCTCGTCAGGCTCTGATGGACGGATTCGCCTGCTTAATGATCTGTCCGATTACTCGAGACGACGCTGTAGCTCGCGAATCTCTTCGAAATTATTCGGTATCCGCTCAACGCGCGAAATCACTCCTCCCTCCCCTTTTATTCGATTGCCAGACATCCCATTCCACTGCCTCATTCCAGTCTGGTGTTCACACAACCAATCACAATCCTCTTTCCGATAGGAAGCAGTGCTGTATGATAGGAAAAACTTTGATGGTGATGTATTCATAAAATCCTATAAATTTCTACACTATCATCTTCTCGTATTGTAACTATTTCGATACAAATTACTTTGTTTTAATACTTGCATACATTTATTTCATAATCTTTTAATTATTTCTTAATTAATATAAAATATAATTCACAATGAAAAAGGTAATTATATTTATATTCCTATTTATAAACATGAAGGTAAATCACACATCTAATAATTAAAAATTATAATTTTGTTTTTATCATAAGATTATTCATTATATATACATTAATAAGAATATAAAAATTAAAATGTATAAATAGAAATTTACTTTAATGTGAAAAATATGAAAACTGTTTATAATAATGAATACAACTTCCGAACAGCCCTTTTCATATTCATTTATTTTTTAATTATATTTTTCAGTTAGTTTATTTTGGAGATGTTTACAGTTTCTTTCGTAAAGACAGTGATAAAACTTTATTAATATAATATTGAAAAACAATTGTTACAATTTAAAATAGAAAGTAATAAAAATATATGTATATAAATAT